TTTTGATCCACTCTATTGTGATCATAAATAATTTTCATTTATTAAAAATTCGGAATTTTTTTTTTATCCACCCTAATGTGAGCACAAATAATTAATTTTTTTTTTTGTTTTTTTTTTTTTTACAGATACAACTCAGGCGGCAAATGCTTTTCACAAGTCCATACAAAACATCTAACGGTCACCATCGATGCATTTACGATTCACAACTCACTGTGGCAGGGCAAGAAGGTGCATTTGCCCAGTAAAAAGGATATGGCGTTAGTTATATAAGGTGTAGCGCCACATAATATGGCGCGCAAGTGGCCGCTTTACTACTACTACCACATATGGCAACGCTTCTCTGTGTGTGTGTATGTGTGCTCGAAGGAATTGCCCGATCATGTTGTTGCTGCTAGCGGAAAACGAAGAGAAGAATAAACAGCCGAGACATCATGGAAATTGTTGCCTGAGTWACATACATACATACATATATGTAGATGTAAATTGTTGGTTCGAAAGTTATATATATATATATATACATATATGCATATACATTTACATACCTAACTTATATATATAATATATATGTATATGGCATCATTGATTGATAATGCAAAAAAATAAGGAAAATAGGAACAAAGCGCGCAAGTTAAAAAGAAAAAAGCAGAAGGCAAGAAAAATTTTGCGAAAAATTTAACACAAAGTAAATAACTAAYATTTACTAACTGCAGAACTTAAAGTTAAAAAGCGCTTGCGCAGCGCCGTAAAGTGTGTAAAGCGAAGAGGAGTGAAAAAAGAGAGCGCTAGTGCAAGAGAGAGTTAGTCTAAACGTAACGGTCTGTCTTGTTGTGTGGCTTGAAAGCCAAATATAAGCTTAAGCTGGCGCAAAGTGTCACACACACACACTACAGTACACACATACATACTTATACAACTAGGATATTCATATATACATACGCATCTATGTATATAAGCATATATCCGTACACATGCATACAGAAATTAAAGAAAAATAATATTAATAATAATAATAAATATATATATGTATACATATATTTAATTAATTCTCTTTTATAAGCTTGATAGTATAAAACACCTGTTGAAC